TATATATATGCAGTTTATATATACAACTTATACCACTAAAAGCTTCTGCATGACAAGTTTAAAGAACCAGTCCAATTACTATGTGATACACAACCCTCATACATGAAACAAAAAGCTTCCTTTACTTTCCCCAGTTGGTCATTGGGTGCCTATCTGACAGACTTGATAGGAAGCTCAATGGCCAACTGAAGGAGTGCACACAGAAGGCTGACAGCGCTACTTGTAAATTTGTGTAAATTACGTGTTGTAAATTTGTAAGACATGCATATATTTTTTTCCTTTTTGTTTGGATTGAGAACACAAATTCTGTCTTTCTCATTTTAGATTTGTGTGTTTATAGTTTTTGCAGATACACAGCTTTTGTTTTTGAATCTTTAAGCTGAAAATGTTCAAGTGATATTATCCTAACACCCTGAAAAATGTGCTTATAAATAGATAAAACATTGCTGCCATTCTCATGAGAATGTTTACTAACTATAATTAAAGCATTATCTAATAATTTATATTTCTCAAAACAAGCCTATACATAGCCATCCAACTATCTAACACTGTAAATGTCTTCTAACGATATTAAATTACTGCAAAAAACATACAGAAAAAGACCTAAAAAATGGCTCTATACAACCATGGAGATTATCACAGAGACTAAGATATATTATAGGCACAAGAAATGAGGTTAAGGTCAAAAATATGTTTGCCCTGCAAATTCAGTTCTTCTCTTGCTTCAGTAGCATTGTTTTGGGATATAATTCTTGTGAGATATACATTTAGGTTATGTAGATGCTGAGAGATCCATGTTCTTCTTAAACTGCTAAACCTGTGCATGCATTTTCCCAAATCCTCCTTACAGTCCTTAACATGTTTTTCTAACCCTGTTTTGTAATAAACATTTATTCCCATTTTTTTACAGATCCTGCTGTTATATCCCCACAAGACCCTACCCTAATGATAGGATCATCACTAACTGCAGCTTGTTTAGTAGACTCTGACTTAAACCTGAAAGCAGATGACCTGTTCTGGACCCTAAATGGGAGAAGGCTTCCTACAGATCTGTATAGGATACTGAATGGCACAACATTAAGTGTGGCCTTGAATAACATGAATGGATCCAAACAGCAATCGGGAGACAACCTGGTGTGCCACAGCAAAGATGGGAGAATCCTTGCAGGATCATGTCTTTACGTTGGATGTATGTCTGATTCTCAGACCTAGCAAACACAGGCATGACAAACTGGTTTGATGCTCTGTTCCAACAGTGTAGTTTGGTGATAGAATGATTTGCACTCTGTAGCACTAGCATATTGGGTTTTATTCCAACTTAAGATGTGTCTGCACAAAGTTTGTGTGTGCTTGAGTTGGTTTAGACATGTGGATTAGGTCAAAAAGATAAAAGGGGTCTCCCTGCAGCTGAAATACTATGCACAGCTGCTAACATTTCAGATCATTTATGTTTTAAATGATAAATATGAATTTTAAATATGATTATACAATTTAAATTTAAATTAGTGAGAGATGACAAGCATGTAAGATGTGCCCCTGCATACGCATTTAACAGCTTTTTCCATTTTTTTTTTTTAAAGTGTAAATAATAGGTTTTTCTTTCGCAAAAAGCATGATAGGCTATATATCACATCCTTGCTACATATAGTTTTCCTATCTGTAAAAGTAAAAGCTAGCCTTAAACTTTACAAAAACATTTTGTGCTGTCATGTATGGTGTCATGTAGCCTACTGAACTCCTGTTGAAAATTATATTCCTACTCAACTTTACATGTAATGTTGAGTCTGCAGATCTCTGCAGTCTGCAGCTCAGATGGAACTTTTGTAAAGGCTTCATATATCTCTCCTGCCACAAAAAAAAAAAACTTACTGTACTGTGTTTGAATGAGGAGGTTGTGATTGCTAGCTATCTCTTGTGATACTGAGGGGGCATTGGTCATCATTTGTTTAAAAGCCATTGATTGCTGTGAAAAGAATTCCACATAGGTTTATCTTCTAATTATCCCATGTCCTAGTCCATAGATGCCATAGTTTCCATACATTGCACTGATGAAGCCCAAAAAGCCTAAGTTTGAGATAAATGATAAAATAAGACTATATTTGCACTATAAACCAGTGGTTCTGGATGTGCATTTGGCTGTTTGGGGCATAGAGGAATGATTTACATGGCTCCATGCACTGTCCCGACAGGAGGAATAATTTCCTAATTTTTGCAATATATGATGGAATGAGACGTGCATACCTATAGCGTTGTCTTTACATTTTGTAAGTGTATCTCTACTAAATTCTTTTTGACCTTTTCTGGTATTCAACCACAGCCAGCTATTCCATGGTGTATTTAAAGCACCCAGTCGCCCACCCAGGTTTAGTCTTTCATGAAATAAAGACATGTATGTTGGTAATAAGGTAACTCTGTTTCATGCACCCTTGTTTGACAAAGTGTTTTTTTTTCTTGAGTGGTTTAAAATATCTTGTTTTGTTTTTTTGCCCCTTTTTTTGTTTCTTCCTCATTTGTCTATGTTTTTCACTTTTATATTTAGGCTCTTATGATCTTTTATTACAATTTTGTGGTATAGCTTCTCCTTTAGTCCCTAAACAGAGACCCTAACTTCTGACCCTGAACAGAGACCCTAACCCTTTTTTGAGCAGCTTTCGCTGTGGACAGAAGCATAATTTACTTCATGGGAAGGAATGCAATTATTTCTTATGTGTAAGGAATGTTCTGTTTTTTGGTTTTAAACTTGTGTTGGTTATGGTTCTAGTGCCCACAGATTTTTTTTTGGGCATAAATGTGTTGCTCTGTCTGGTTGTTTTGTTCTGCTGTTTCGTCAGTAGACTACCTGTTTTCTCTCTGCACTCCCATTTCACTAAGAGCTCTGCATATGTTGTTTTTCTGGTGATGTACGTGTTTAGGCTGACCTGTATGCTTACATCTTCTTTCTCTATGCTTTTCTTTATTTTTTTAAGAGCACACATTCACCTTCAAAGAAATTAAGTAGCTTTAGTATATGTAGAAGAAGAGCTTAGTTGTGATTGTATACCCAGTGGAATAATAGATCACAACAAATAGTCACTAATTCTCATCGATCTAAAAACAGTTTTTGAAATGTTGAGGACTCCTTTGTGAATCTTATAGCAATGCTGGTGTTGGTCATCTCCCCAGTTACACCTCTCTGGAACCTGTTCTGAAATCTGGAAGGGCCAGAAACAGATGACATTTTAATGCCACCTGGCTGTTCCTCTATTGTTTGTGTTTTTACCTTTCTCACTGATGCTCTGGACCCTTCAGAAGATTTGAATGGGAAAATGTAAAGGTGACAGTCATTACCCTGGTTTGCCTTCCTGTGGAACCTGAAGTCAGCATTTACCTCTCACCTGAGAAAGATTCTTTGTTTCAGGGAAACCTGCCTCCAGAGTTGTTGAAACTAAATGTAGACTGCATGTAGTGACCTGGAGGATAAGCACAGAAATTGCCATCCTTAAAGCTCTACTCCAGTTTTCAGAAAAAATGTAATTGCCCCAGACCTGTTGAAACAATAATACAGCACGTGACCATACCCTGCAGCATTCAGGAGAAAACATAAACTGTAACCCTTTAGGTCTGGTAGACATTTTAGGAGGGACCCCAATGCCAACCCCTCCCAAAAAAGTGTGGGTCCCCCCCAAATCCCTTACTAGACCCTTGATCTGAGCAGTGGCTTGGCAGAGCAGGAAGATCATGCATCATACCAGGCCACATGCCCTCAACATGGGGAAGGTGGTTTGTCAGGGGGGACTCCCTGACAAAGCACTTTGTCCCCATGTTGATGAAGACAAGGGCCTCTTCCCCACAACGCTGGCCTGGTGGTTGTGGAGGTCTGTGGGCAGGGGGGCTTATCTGAATCTGGGTGCCCCCTTTCAGAAAGGGGTCACCCAGATGCTCCCCCCCATGAATGAGTAAGGGGTAGTTGTTACCCCTACTCATTCACCAAACAAACAGTAAAATAGTAAATAAACACACCACAACAATTTGTAAAGTCTTTTAATAGTAAATAAACTCACCACACAGTTTTTGACAAAAGAAAAATGTCCCACGATGTAAATCCATCATCAATCACAGTGTTCTGTGACGTAGAACCTCGTCAATCATGATGCCTGACACTCGTCAACTTGACAAAGAAAAATCCCTGCTGCCAAGTCCAAACTCGACGAACTCTCACTGCTAATGAGAGCTCTGCTCCTCCTGGGACCCCACACTTTTTTGGGGGTGGGGATTGTCTAACACCTTTAATTAAATTTTTTGAAGATTTGGATACATCTGAATTTTCAGTACCGCAAAATTCAGATTCTCACTGCTCACTCTCGCTGCTAATAAGAGCTCTGCTCCTCAATGTAAAAAAAAAATGTTTTGGGTCCCAGGAAAATGGGGGCTGCACAATCGTCCGCCCCCCCCTTTTCTGGGACCCCACACTTTTTTTGGGGTGGGGATTGTCTAACACCTTAAAGTTAATTTGTGGAAGATTTGGATACATCTCAATTTTCAGTACCGCAAAATTCAGATTTGTTTGAATTTGTTATTTTTTCCATTCGGAAATTTGGATGCATCAGAATTTCCGAATATGTCGGTATTCATCCGAATTTCAATTCAGAACTAAACAAATCTTACATGTCTATTCTGAAACAGTGTAGATTGGGACAAGCTCAGTTAGGAATACTTTTTAAATAATTTCATTCAGTGAATGTTATGCTCTGCTGGGAAAACTGTTTTTCTCTTTTATTGGTATGTGGATTGGTTTGTGAGGTGTAGTAATTCCCTGTAAAACCAGGCCTAGCGCATACTCTTATAGCATAGAGAGAACATGCCAGGAAAGTTGTGGAAAAGGAATGTGTAGCAGAATAACCCCAAAAGACTTTGCTGTGATTTTTTATTTTCCAAATGTCCCTGATTGGGCAGTCACATAGTGGCAGAAGTATACATTATCCTATTGATAGTACACTCTCTCATTTTTTCTATAGTAATAAGAAAGACAGCAATCAGCATTGTAATCAGGAGGGCAGGGCCTGAGGATAATGCACTATAGTAACCAGTTGCTGGTAGAGCTTTAGTGAGGTAAGGATGGCTGCAGATATTGGGTATCTGTGTTCTATAACAAATCTGAGGGCTTCAGAGTATCCTCCAGGATGTGTTTTGCACACTTGCTGGTCAGGTTAGCCCACTGTGACATGTAAAGATAAAATATATTCTACTTTCTAGTGAAACATATTTTTAAACTTTGTTCTGATAAATAATGTATGTACTGCACATGCAAGAGAAAAAGCGAATTCAAAGAGCTACACAGTTGTAGCACTACTACAACAGTGTCTGAGCAGATCATATTAATTTCCTGCACATTTGTGATGGAGACCTGTGTTCAATTAATTCCAGGAGATTAACTAATTGTTACATACATTATTGATGTTTTTTGGCAATCCTTGTTCCAATACAAGCTGTGTGCAAAACTTTGGGCATACTTGGTCAAAAGACATGTTTATTGCATACACCTGCCAGTTATAGGATGTCCTATGTACCCAATTGAGAATATGAAAATAAACATATTTGCTCTTGCCCCAAATAACATGTATACATGTATATTTATCTATTCACTGTGGTTGGCTAATCAGATACTATGTGTAGCAAGAGGTTACAACGAGTGAATAGATGCCCAGCACGCTCAGGTTAAAAATTGTGTGCCTCAGTGAAATTGCAACAAAATTCAGTACCCCAAAAAGTCCATAGATGATGCTTTAACCCTTTCGCTGCCAAAGCATTAATATTGGCCTTATCCCATTGGAATTATTGCTCTCACTGTGGCGTGCGGGTCGATACGTATGTTTAGGTGAAGACGCGCTTGCTCGTAGGGGTGGGGGACTTAAAACATTTTGTAAAACCGTCGGCTTTACAATTGTAAACAGAGTCCTGGCGTCTTTAGCTGCTGGGAGTCTGTTTTAACGGGCCCGGTGCCAGTGACGTACTATGGAAGTCACTGGTCACTAAGTGGGTTAACCAGTGTTTGGACCAAGCTGCTATTGCTTTTTCAGCATGCCCACCCTTTTATGTGACCTTTAGATCAACATAGTATGATATAATGGCCAATAAATATACCATTCCCAAAGTACACCAATTTCTATCTGACATTGCCAGTGTGCTTGTCAGGTGCATTTTTCAGGTGCA